TCACTACACTACTCACCATATTCATAGAAGAAGAAAGATACGGCAGTGCATCTTCGGACCTTGTAGTGGAAGATTCATTTCAATTTTGCATTTTTTGCGAGTCGTGCAGAAAGGGCCACACCGGTCGTAAATCCGAACAGGCGTCTACACTTAACGTTGTCTATTCTGATCTACCCTACGCTATACTCTCTATTTCACTTTATTGTACTCTACTGTATATTCCACTCTACTCTCTGCTGAGTGTACTTTTCTCTCGCTGTACTCTAATCTCTACTCTCGACTACTCTCTATCGTCAGCTACTCTCAGACTCTACTCTACTCTCTGCTGAGTGTACTCTTCTCTCGTTGTACTCTAATCTCTACTCTCTATCGTCAGCTACTCTGAGATCTCATACCTACTGAATGGAATTAGTACGAATTACTCTGCCTAACCCTTGTCTGTCGCCGGCAGAGCTGCGCTGGCTAATCTTGTAATAATTAAGGTACCCAAGATATTTGAAGTTTTTAACCTTCCCTTCTTCATTGCCTTACCTTTTTTTTAATTTCCCAGAAAACCCTGAAATTTGGTAGGACTGTAGTCTATATGCAAGAAAACCCACTTTTCTGTGACTTTTTTAATAAAAATGGCCTCCAAATGGGGTTTGGCAGGCCACGAACCTTCTGTGATGCCGCAGCCCCTGAATGCCCCGAACACCCTGGCCATTTGGAGCAGGGGTGTAGAACACCCCTCCCCCCCTCCTCCCCTCCCCCTTGGCCCCGCGCCCCCGGCATTCGGGGTGGTAACACTGGTTACAACAGTTTTTTTCTTTTTTTATCTTTTTCTAAAAAAAAAAGGCGACGGCCTTGAGATATTGTCATTGAGCTGACTGGCCCCAAGCAATTCGTTAGTAGTTGGTTTTTACTTGTCAAGTTCCGTCATCTGGATTTGAACACAGGTCTGTATTTCAACAGTTCATGGGTGTACCCACTGAGCTAGGCTCTTGGGGTGATTACAACAGTTTTGGTGACCAGGTATGAGACAGGAGGCCCGAGTGCATGCACAACGTTTTCAGGTTTGCCAGTGAGACAAACCACACGCACAGGTATCTGCGGGCGTAAAGCACCAATACGTGGCCCCAGGCAACTGGAGAACCTGTTTTGAGCCTCTCCAAAAATTTAGGAGGCCGAGCGCCGCAGATAAAGTGAATCGGCGGTAGGCGGCCTCCGAAAGGGGGCCGCGGCTGATAGCTGGTGCTGTAACCCTCTCCTTATTCCTTCTGGACCAGGGAAAGTTGTAGTCATGGACTTCATACATTTATACATTCATCACCAGCAGGAGTGGTGGTAGGCACATATTCGGGTCGTTGGTATGATCCTGACCAGCTCTTGATGGAAAACTCAGAGAGAAGAGAATGCCATTTGTCGGAAATCAAGAAGAAGTCGAAGACACAAAGAAAGAGAAGAGAATGAAGCAAGGAAGGAGAACAAGAACATAAGATTAACCCGAAGTCTCTGCACCCTCTTCGAGCCCTCACAGTACTGCACTACTTTATTTTCGAATATAAATAACAATGAATAAGCTTCAATAAAGCATGAGCAAGAATCAATGTCGGAAAGATTCCTTTGGCTGCCTTATAAAAAGAACTCCTCCCTGTCTCTACGTCACCTTGCTGAGCTGGTAGCTATGTCGTATCCTCCTTGCCATGCACATGTTCAATGGGCAAGGCAACAACCTACCATGCGTCTCCTTCCTCCTATCACCATTGCCGTTCTCCTCGGATGCAGTTCAGACGGTCCCCTCCAGGGGCCTTCCTGATGCAGTGGAAGGCAGGTAAGTGGAAATGAAGGTCGACCAAAGCCATAGCCCAGTATGGGATTTATCTTTCAAGTCCTGCTCACATTTCCTGTTACATGCCCAGTTGGGCGATGTACATAAATAACCGAGGATCCGCAATGTGATGAAAAGGACTGAATGTGCAATGCAGTGCAAGTGAAATCTCACAAGCAGTGTACGTCCTGATACATACAAAAATGGTGCTTTATAGTGCAGTGGAAGACTTAGATATAAGTCCCGACCTGACCGGGACTGACCTCTATGACGTAGTGCAAGACAGGGAAGCAGAATGCTAGAATACCAATGACTAGCCCTCTCAGTGTCGCAACGCAGACCAAACATACATCATCCTCATCACAAGGTGTGAAGGGGCCTGGTGCCACACACAGGAAGAATGCGCCAGGTCCAGATCATGCAGAGACAAAGAGGAGGGAATCAGACAAAGACGAGGGGGGGAGATGGGAATGTCGTCAACACCAAGTCTTCGTTACAAGTCCCCAATAATCCCTTGTCAAAATGTCTGAAGCCCAGTGTCGAGTCTGGATCCAAATGTCACCAATCCCGCTCTCTCAAAGTCTGCTGATGCAGTGAAGTCAGGTAGCGAGAGGGTGAGAGGGAGATGGTGGACTGAGAAGAGGAAGAAGAAGAACTCTCTCTCTCTCATGTGCCAGGTACTAACCTGTGAAGATGGCGCCGTGCTGCAGGTACCTCGAAGACGAAGCCGGAGCTATGACGCTGCAGGTAAGTCTCCCTGGCCTCCGCCCAATCTCTCTCTCTCTCTCTCTCTCTCTCTCTCTCTCTCTCTCTCTCTCTCTCTCT